TAAGTTAGATAAGTTATGAGCGAGAAATAATAAATAAAATAATCTTGATTATAATTATGTAAATTATGTAGACATATTGCTCACAACTAAGTTTTTGTGGTGATAGCAAATAAAGTACAACTTCTTATATACTGTGGACAGAAAGAGCATTGAATTAAATGATAAAATCAAATATCAATTGATACGAGATATGAGGAAAAATCTTAATTTTCTCATAATTTTGTCGACAGCTTAACGACTGTACATAGGATTAATGTTTGCAATTTTGGTCATTTTGCACAATAAATCTAATGTCTGTCACGTCTCATATCAATATTCTAAGCGATATTACATATGAAACTACATTTAATACTTGGACTCAGACCGAGAGACTGTATTTTTGTTGCCTCTATTTACGTGACGATCTCTTTCGGCACTCAATACTACTCTTATCGTACGATTCATTTAATTTAGGTTTTCTGCCGGCGCTGGTGGACGGCACAGTCAGAGGCAATTACGGCCTAATGGATCAGGTGGCAGCCCTGCACTGGCTCCAGGAAAACATCGCTGAGTTTGGCGGACAACCCAATAATGTAACCATCATTGGGCACGGATATGGAGCTGCCTGCGCGCACCTACTCATGATATCTCCTATGGCTAAAGGTTTCATAACTTAGCGCTAATTCTTACAAATTATTTGCCTTTTATTGTGCCATCAAAATGAATATTTCATTGCATTTAATGAGACGAACAAACAATACGATAATAATTATTGTTTCGTTAATATAAGCATGTAATCAATTATTAGTTAGAAAGTAACAATATTATCATTATTAATTAGTATGCTATTTTAGTTTTTTAAAATATTTATATATTTATATTTGATTATTTTTATTAGTACAGGTATTAGTATTAATTTGATACTAATAAACTCTCTGTTTTAAATAATTGATTATAATTTTATATATAAATTTTAGGTCTATTTTCACGAGTGATACTAATGAGTGGATCAGCACTCAGTCCGTGGGCTATAGCCAGAGATGCGGACCTCTACGCCAAAACCATAGCTCAAGAACTAAATTGTCCTGTTCATGTGAGTTTACACATTTACACATTTATAACATTTTTATGAAAAGAAATTAATTATTTTTAATCATTAATATTCAAATATCAAAAAGTTTTTATTTTTGCGTTAAATATTATTTTTACATAAAAATTCAGCGAAATATCGATTCCCTTATCTAAGAATTCTGTCAAATAGTGCCGCAATTAAAGCGTTAAATATTTTGAGCAAATCTCGAAATGAATGCAATGCTTCAGCTTTTGTACGAAACACGAGAGACACAAAAATATTTAATTTAGTCGATTAGGAGTCCAAACATTTTTCCATTACTCCTGACATTACATAGCATTTCGCATTTCTCTTAGCGTTAAAACCGGGTTTCGAGTAATAAATTATTCCACAAAAGTAGTGAAAAATATTCAGTTTTATCAGATTTGTATAACAATGTGATGGATGCGTTCACAGACACTAATATTCTTCGCCCAAAAGTTTTGCTTTCAAATATTTTTAAAAAACTTTTTGCTATTTTCCACTTTTTCGAGGCACACAATTGAATTTTTATTAAATTATAGATTTGAGAACCTGATAAACAATTCAAACTTTTTTTGTTAAATTATTTATTTATTTCGCTGAAATTCTCATTATTAATTCCAAGATATTTTATTGTCTACAAGTTTTAAATTATTGTCCATGTATCCATGTATCCATGTATCCAATGTATACACGTATACTGTATTTCTCTTTTACTGCCCTATTATTTAAAACTATAATTACATTATCTATGATTCCTGTAATAACTATGCCTTTTGTTGGCGTGTTTTGCTAACAACTTGTAATACAATAGGATATCATTAATCAGATTTAATAGTAGTTAGAGTTAGAGCTGTTGTTATCTTAAGACAAGAGTTGACTTTTTGTTTTGAGCCAAAAATAAAGACTGACTTATAATCATGTGTTTGTGTGATCAGTGAATGCTATGTTAGTGTTGTTTAAGTCTATGGGATATCGGAAATCGATGGCTATATTAAATAATTCAAACAATAATTATTCAATTCAGACGATAGAGACATTAAGCCATTAGTATAATTAGAATCAATACCAAGTATGGGATGAAATTGTCGAAAATTGGGCCCAATTTATAACATTATTTGCGGGAAAACATAATTTTTTAGAAACTATTTGTCTTTGAGATTATTCTCTGGACATGTAATTCATTACAATGTGTGTGTGTTTGGAGGGTCTGATAGGTGCCCACTATTCATATAATAAATTATTTGAATCGGAATTTCTATTCACTTATATTATGTTTCCTTTGGATCGCTTTTTTCACAATACCCGACCATAGGCTTAGTGTAACACTACAACCAAATAACAAGATATATATTTTTACATCTGATTGCGATAAACATTATTTGTCACTATTATGTTGGAGTAATGGCCGAGTATTTCATGCGAGCCATCAATTTTGAAGTTTTACACACAATTCCGATAGAAAAGTGAGTTTTGAAATAAATATCGGAAACTCTTTGCCAAACAGAGAAGCTATCGATTCTTGTGTAGAAAATTGTCATTTCGTACAATACATGGATATAGTATTAGGCGTTGAGTGGTAGCGCCAAATGTAAGCAATAAATGACTAATTGCTCGCTTAAAAAACTAATGTTTCCGAGTCTGGAGATATTTATTTGATGACAACACTTATCATCTATTTGTCTATTACTCGGCTTTATTACTATTGATAACTATATTTGTGATTCTCTTTTAATGTCTCTCTTAATAGATATTTATGGCAATTATTAAGACTTTAGCGATAACCTAAGCGAAACACATTCATATTATTGGGATTTTTGTTTATTTTAAGTCACTATTAATTGAATTAAGTTGTGAAAAGTGCTTAACATGTATTAAATGACTGTCTAATTGACACCGATAGGACAATGCCTTAATGGTTGACTGTTTGCGCCAAAAACGTATCGATGAGCTGTTTTCGGTCGACTACTCAGTTCCCGATCACTTGACAGCTTTCGGTCCCATTATTGATGGCATTGTAGTGCCTTCAGAGCCCAGATATTTGATGCAAACCGAGTCCGAGCACCGGAGCTCACGGCTGGCCCATCACTCAGACCTGCTGATCGGCGTCACTCGTGTCCTTCGCGGCGGACAAAAGTTAAGCGTGCTTCTCTCTGTGCCTTAGCTACAGTAGGCTTCCCTAGCGTATGAGGCCTGAGAGCAGTCCTTAGAGAAACTGAAAGTAGTTGTCCATTACGTTAGATAAATATCCAAGGTAATCTATTTCGCGCTTAACATGTCTTTTAATGGAATTCTTTATTTAAATTCTTGTCCTTTTCGTACGAAAAATTCTAGTCATTACTTAATTTTAATTAATAATTTATATGTATATTATAATACGGTAACAGAAATGATCCAAATTTAATGGACCAGAATTGGCGACATTAGCCAAATGCCAAATCTCAACAGTTTCTCGAAATATATAAATTTTAAAATTTCTTAAAATAATAAACAGATTGTCGACTCTTTATAGGCAAACATCACTTCGCTTAAGAGCTGAGCACTCGATATATTTATATATATTTTATACCACTCTTCAGACAATAATCCTTTAAATTTAAAGTTCTGATGAGTTTTTTGTTATTTTATTTCTCGAAGACATATCTCAAGTTTCCTCAAAAGTCGTATATATTTGATATATTTCTGGAGAACTTTATTTCGTGAAGTCTTAAAAGGCGCTGCAAAAAAATCAATTCATTGAAAATGTGTCACAAAATGCATTAATTCATGCATAAAGTGAATGAGTCCTCTATTTAGCGCACATTCTCGCGAATCTATTCATGCATTTGATTGACTTCATGTTATTCTTAAATGAAAATTCAATTTTCCTATAAAATAATGACAACTCGCTTATGAAGTGAAATATACTTTTATAAGTTTTCCATACATTTAGTATTAATTTTATTTGAATGAATCGCTCATATTTAGTGTCGCTATGAAAAAAGTGTTTTGACAATACAGTAACTGTGTGCTAAATGTTGAGCGAAAGCTTTAATGCCTATCAATACAACTCTTATATGAATAAATCCAATGCTATATCAAATTCAGGCATTCTTTCGCTTAATCTATGAATTCTAAGCTTTCGTTTTCACCAATTTTCACTGAATATAAACATTTCTAAAGCTTTAGTATTTTCTATTTTCATATACAGTATGTCAATGCTATATCAAATTCAGGCATTCTTTCGCTTAATCTATGAATTCTAAGCTTTCGTTTTCACCAATTTTCACTGAATATAAACATTTCTAAAGCTTTAGTATTTTCTATTTTCATATACAGTATGTTATAAAACACTTTTATACAGTATCAGTGAATGAAAATGCGAGAAATATAGACTTTGTTTCCTATTTACACAAATTTTATTGCAATAACTTTTACGGCACTCTCTTATTGTTTATAATGTTTTATTGCGAAAATATTTCTACTTTTCATTTTTGTTTTATAAATAAATAATTAGCAATTTTTTGAATAATAGATGACTTGCATTTGAATCTAAACTATAAATGAAATTCAAATTTGCTGATAGCCTGGATTCAATGCATAACTTAAAAATGAGAAAATAATTTTATAAAATGTCATTGGAGTCAAGAAATTTGCGATGACATAAAATCAATGTACTGTCAGTAATACATCTCATTTATTAGAGTCCTTTTTGATGGATTTTTGTCTCATTTGCCAACCATAGACACTGCCGTCTAATCAATGCTATATCAAATTCAGGCATTCTTTCGCTTAATCTATGAATTCTAAGCTTTCGTTTTCACCAATTTTCACTGAATATAAACATTTCTAAAGCTTTAGTATTTTCTATTTTCATATACAGTATGCTATAAAACACTTTTATACTGTATCAGTGAATGAAAATGCGAGAAATATAGACTTTGTTTCATATTTACACAAATTTTATTGCAATAACTTTTACGGCACTCTCTTATTGTCCATAATGTTTTATTGCGAAAATATTTCTACTTTTCATTTTTGTTTTATAAATAAATAATTAGCAATTTTTTGAATAATAGATGACTTGCATTTGAATCTAAACTATAAATTAAATTCAAATTTGCTGATAGCCTGGATTGAATGCATAACTTAAAAATGAGAAAATAATTTTATAAAATATGTCATTGGAGTCAAGAAATTTGCGATGACATAAAATCAATGTACTGTCAGTAATACATCTCATTTATTAGAGTCCTTTTTGATGGATTTTTGTCTCATTTGCCAACCATAGACACTGCCGTCTAAAAGCAAATGGATATGAAATTTGTCGGCATTTTTAGGCAAATTGTTTTAATTTTCGACAAATAGGCTGAAACAGCAATGAATGCAAATGATTTGTCCACTGAATGGACGAAAATGTTTCATTTATTTCGAAACTTTTTAATTAAGTTTGAGTGCAATTATCTCTTCAGTCGATCTTCACTTCACTCATCGTTAAGTCAATTGAACACTCGATTTAGTTTTGCTGCAAATCCTATGATTACTTGTTTCAGACGTTGACCTCTCGCTCCCTATCCATGCGATAAATAGTTGAGAGATCGAGAGCCAAACTCTTCACTCCAAACGCTAAAAGTCTCGTAATATCGCACATTTCTTAACACTTTGTAAACGCATTCAATAATATTTTATTCATATTTTTTTTATTCAATTTGCATCCTAATTTATTATTTAATTTTGTATATATACTTTCTTAATTTATAGGCTAAGTTATTGCATAATTTTTTGCCCATTACTAGTTAGTTTACTAGAATATTATCATAAGCCACGAATATGTATATATATGCAGTAATTTATTCAAATACTTTTGGCTTTACAGTGGAGTTCATTTAATTTATTAAAACTAATTACCATTGATTGAGTCAATTATTATTTAGTGTCAAATTTTTTGCGGTAATTATTCAAAGTTTTTTGCGCGTAAAACTGCTTAATGAATATGAAATATATTCAAATTAGCGCTAATAAGACATGAAAAATGAAACTTTAGTTGAGCAGAAAAAGGACAAAAACGGGAAAACAAGTCTTAATTTAAATATTGATTAGAGAGTGAGGTATTCATTGAGTCATTAATTCACATGAAATCCGACAAAAAAGCTATTGTTTGCTTCATATGCATCGGAAACGGCTGAGGAATATGTATGAATCGCTTCATTAATCTCGAATACCAGTGCTTACATCGAGACATAAAAACCTTTGTCTGTTGTTTGTTTGTCTCATATACAGTGTGTATATATTTTTGTTGAGCAGAAAAAGGACAAAAACGGGAAAACAAGTCTTAATTTAAATATTGATTAGAGAGTGAGGTATTCATTGAGTCATTAATTCACATGAAATCCGACAAAAAAGCTATTGTTTGCTTCATATGAGGAGAAACGGTGACTGCAATGCATCGGAAACGGCTGAGGAATATGTATGAATCGCTTCATTAATCTCGAATACCAGTGCTTACATCGAGACATAAAAACCTTTGTCTGTTGTTTGTTTGTCTCATATACAGTGTGTATATATTTTTCAAAATGATTGTGTGATTAGTAGTGTATGAGAGGATAAATCAGAGATAATTGTCGTTATACTCAGTTTTGATTTGAAAACTATATTTCGATTTGCAATTGTCTCCTCATTTCATAATCACAGCCATTATAGCTATTATGTGTTGTATTCTGTCTATTGATTTTGGATTAACTGCCAAAATAATTGAGTTCTACTTATTCTGGAATTACATTGAAAACTCATATATAATTCAATACAGCATTGTATTAAACAGTGGGTAACACACAGGGCTTTCATTGGCACCGAAACACTTGACCGCAGCGTATATTTTAATCAATACCACTATCTTTTTACTAAAAGCTAAAATAATTGCATTGCTTTTAAGCCTTTCTCTCATATTTCAGTGAATATTCGTTACTTAAGACGAGAGTCTTAGCGAAAACAGTGAATGCAATATACAGTATGGGTTTCGGTGTGGGGTTTGATTTAGTCATTCAATTCCTGCACCTATACTACCACATGATATACTGATATATCGATGAAATCCAGATTAATACATATATATATTATTAATAAATTATATTTTAGGCAATTCTGTTGACATTGATTAATGAGTACACGGATTGGACGCGTCCAGTGGAACATCCCATCAATTTATTGGACTCTTTGCTCGATATAATGAGCGATGCATTAGTGGTCGCACCCGTCATAGAAACCGGTGATTTGCATTCCCGGCCACTCATGCCTACGAAGCCATATCACAGACTGTCGTCAAGTGCCAGGCCTCAGACGAGAGGCAAAACATTTTTCTACGTCTTCGTACATCAGGTATGATATATGACTCCAAACGACTCCATCGGCTAACCAATTGTCACAACCCCTTAGAGCGAAGAGGGCTCGAAGTTTCACCAGAGGTTGGGCTGCGCTCACGGCGAAGAGTTGGCCTACATGTTCGGCGCACCCCTATCTCAGCACCTATTGGGCAAATCTATGGCACAGTTCGCTCAGAACTACAGCCGCACTGAAGTTAGCCTTTCCGAGGGACTCATGGCTTATTGGATCAATTTTATCAAATATGGGTTCGTCTCATATATAAATACTAGGCCTTCAATAGTAGTAACTTTTAATTAAATAATTATCGCGTTTGGTGTAACCATTTTGTACCCAATGACTACAGATAATACAGTATAAGTTGATTAACTTTGGCCATTATTTCAAATTATTTGTCTAACTCGAACACAAATAANAGTAGTAACTTTTAATTAAATAATTATCGCGTTTGGTGTAACCATTTTGTACCCAATGACTACAGATAATACAGTATAAGTTGATTAACTTTGGCCATTATTTCAAATTATTTGTCTAACTCGAACACAAATAAGTTTTGTTTTTATTTCATTATAATCATAATGTGATATATTATTTTTAAGTAAGATATAAATGATTGGTTTGGAAATCAATTATTTGAATGAATTGAAAACAAGAGTAAAAAAACTTCTGAAAACATAGGAAATACAAAACAAGTGTCAGACTTAAGACAATTGAAACAAAATTGATTATAGACTCCAATGACTGCTTTACACAAACTAATGAATTAAAAGGTTGTGCGCCAGTGGTGTAGACACAGCACAGGGCCGGCACAGAGCACAGGCACTACACTATACGGCCACAAAAAACAGTGATTGAGTCTTCCGATAATAATCAGAATTATTTGAATCACATTCTGCTTAATCTCAAAGAAGTGTTATTTATTTGATGCCAAACCCTACTTTTAATTAAATAATTATCGCGTTTGGTGTAACCATTTTGTACCCAATGACTACAGATAATACAGTATAAGTTGATTAACTTTGGCCATTATTTCAAATTATTTGTCTAACTCGAACACAAATAAAAGTTTTGTTTTTATTTCATTATAATCATAATGTGATATATTATTTTTAAGTAAGATATAAATGATTGGTTTGGAAATCAATTATTTGAATGAATTGAAAACAAGAGTAAAAGAACTTCTGAAAACATAGGAAATACAAAACAAGTGTCAGACTTAAGACAATTGAAACAAAATTGATTATAGACTCCAATGACTGCTTTACACTAACTAATGAATTAAAAGGTTGTGCGCCAGTGGTGTAGACACAGCACAGGGCCGGTACAGAGCACAGGCACTACACTATACGGCCACAAAAAACAGTGATTGAGTCTTCCGATAATAATCAGAATTATTTGAATCACATTCTGCTTAATCTCAAAGAAGTGTTATTTATTTGATGCCAAACCCCTCGCAATTGCACTCTCATTGCACTCGCGATTACTATTTACTCGAACATACATTTATTAGGGGCTCAATATAACCATCCCTTTCCCACTCGATGCCTATCCCCGCGATTCCCGAGTCGATTGCAAACACTTATTCTCATTCTATTCTCGTTTGCTTTACTCTGCCCTCAGATTCTCATGTCTTTCCCTTTTTTGTTAAGCTCTATATTATACTCGCAGACAATAACGCGTTTGGATTTCAATTGAAAACAATAAATCAAAAAACAATTCACACTTTATTTAACCTTAAATTTTATTTTAATCTTTTCAAAACGGTTTAGTTTATACTCGCATTTAAACTGCTTTTATTTCTGTTGAATACAGAGTCTGAGCGATAATTTGGAGACAAATTTATTTCATTCTTGAATTGTTAGTTAAAATCGATTCTTTGTATACATTTAATGTAAACCCAATCAGAAATTTGTGCATTTATTGAGTACACCAACTAATTGTTTGAGTCAACTCTCAGTACATGTTTTTGTTGTTATATTTGATTAGTGATCCAAACCTATGGCCCACAGAATTGGATACAAATGGAGACCGAACTAAAGGCAGGTTTGAGAGTGTTTTGTGGCCACAATACGAGCCCACACAACGCAAGTACCTCATGCTAGGTATGAGTGGTTTATTTTAATATCACTTAAGCAAATTCACAACAAGCACAATTATGTATAACAATATTCTAGTACACCACTTTTACACTCAATACTCAATTCCAACAAAATCAGTAATTATGCAAATAAGGTAACGGTGCCTAGTGACCCATACAATATTAATTAACATAAAAATATTTTCATCAAACAAATGACAATCATTTTTACAGTGAATATTTAAAATTGCACTTTATATTTATTGAATCCAAGTCATCGACCACTTTTTCATTGCTATACTTCCCATAAATGTATGATTCAAAGCATACAGTATATTAAATATGAGTTTGTATTTCATTATTATTTTATGTTTTATGTGACAGAAAATTGCCAGAATAATTGATTTTAAATTGTATTATAGCGTGATATTTTGAGACTTACGTTTGTAACGATTTTGATTCACAATTTAGTCATGAATTGAATCCCAGAATGCTGTATATTCTGATGAGACAAATATTTTAATGATTAATATTGTGCTCACGATTTGCTACAAATCAAAAGAAATTATGCCCACATTTTGCTTAAAAATAATATTAGCCCACAAAACAGTATTAGCAGTGAATAAATTTCTCGTACATCATAACTAACTTTATGTTAATTGACTGTCAATTAACTGGAATTGAATTTTCATATTTGACACTCAATTTTGGTGTTTTATTTGTTTTTTGACCGCACTTTTTGCACATAAATTATTAAATACACATAATTTAGATTAGATTTAACACATACAACACTATTAGAGTCAATCAGTTCGTATCAATTGTGACAAATAAAATATTTTTATATGTTTTACCAAATGTTTGCCTGAAGTACACAAATAAACACAAGTTTTATCGTCTAATAAAAGCGGAAAACTTTTAATGCATTTTCATCTAATGAGTGGAAATGTCTTTGGAATTAATTGATGACAATTTGTGTCCATTTATCTCGAAACCAGGTCTTAAGCCTAAAGTCAGGGATCACTACCACAGCCATCGGTTATCGTTTTGGCTGAACCTAATTCCTCGACTGCATAATGCGGGCGAAGAGCAGGTCTACTTAAGGCACCATTTATTAACAGATCACGAGAATATGGCCTCATATGATGGTATAGTGAGACAGATAGCCTTCAAGTTCTTCGCGCCCATACCCAACAAATCGCTGGATTTAATACCCGTTAATAACTCAATAATAAGCAAAAGTCGGAAACAATACTTGACTCCGAAGACTGCGAGCAATGAACTCGATGTGAACGACGGCGCCAATGAGTTCAGCCCTCCGATGACCACCGAATCGGTTATGAATTTCTATAACAACCAGTCGATGGGCTCTACAGATGTCATCTCAATGATTGATAGCCAGGCTAATTTAAATAACAAAACCGCCGCCAATGGCATCACCATTGGAGCCAATTATTCAACGGCTCTATTGGTGACGATTGCGATCGGATGCTCGCTATTGATACTAAATATGCTTATATTCGCCGGCGTTTACTATCAATTGGACAAAAACTCAGCGCTCAGACATCAAAAGAAGAGTAAGAATAGGAGTGCGAGTAGTGATCATCACTCGAGCTATCATTATAACGATGTAAATATCGATCTCCTTTAACACCCTTTGGCTTAACGTGTATTTCTCTAAGTCTTATTCACTATAACTAACTCTACTCTATGTCTGTGTCTACTCTATGTCTCTCCCAATACTCTCCTCCACTATCTCTCACTTTCTCTCTCTCCTCCTATTGTGAGTGTCTTTTCTCAAAGGCCTACAAAAAACTGCATTCAATTCAAACGCAACAACTTTTCTCTTGTAAACCAAACGCTTGTTAGGCCTCATCTCCACTCTTATACACCACTACATCACCGCTACTACTGTTCTACACATCCATTGTCTTTACAGCCCTATTATGTTATCCTTTCTCTTCACGCCTTACAGTTTACTTACCATTATATGATTTTTTGCCACACATTCCTCTGTATTCCTCTTGTGTTCACTTATATTCTTCACTCACTTTTATTCTCAATTCAATTCTCATTCATTGCCCCAAAAAATCTATTTTCAAAAAGTTATCTCTTTTTAACTCTTCAAAAAAGAATGAAAACTTTTTTCTCCACTTTGTATTGTATTGCAGTTATTGTGTGAACGATATTTCCGCTCCTATTATGTGTCAAAAGAGGATTCTTTATTGCATTTCATTTCTCTATTTTCTTTCCTACATATCAAGTATTTCAATATTTATATCCTTTTGATTAATGTCTTGATTTGTGTATTTACGGCTACTATTAATGGCATTCCCTTTTTGTCATGTTTTATAATTTTATGTTTTAATTATTGAAATGGATTCCCAATATACGTGAAAAGTGTCTCTCACTCTCTCCCCGGTATTCTCTATTGACACGTGAAATGCCATCAAAACTCATTTAAAATGATTGAATGACTGGCTCTCGAAAAAAAGTCATTGATTTTTCACTTTCATTAGACGCCCAAAAGCCAAGAAATGGTAGTATTGGCCACACCTGAGAAGAGACTATTAACGCAAAAGTCTCCAAACCTGAGCCACAATCACGTGGAGATCGTGAACACAAACTTCTTAGACGTGGACCAAATGGACACGAAGTGCAACACTATTCGCTCAAACGATACGGTATACTACAATCAAAAGACGTTTGGCTTCGAGCACTCACACCACTCACACTCATCGCCAGTGCCTTCTTGTCTGTCAAACAGCGATACGACAACCACTTCTATAATCCATGTGCCTCTCAGTTACGACAAGTCCTCGGGTGACAACTTCGCACCCGAGATTCGCGTCTGATTTCCATTCAAAACACATTTTCCATTCATTACACCCAAAAACCCTATTTCATTACCAATGACTGCTATTACGCCAATGGTATTGCATTTCCATTACCATTGACCGCAATAATCAACATCTAATGTGCTGTACAATACATGGTCTGATACTTAATCAAAAAAGTGATTTATTTTGTAAAATATGTATAAATTTTATGATTCATGTATTATGAAGATTAACGAATAAAAATTAACTTTAATTTCTGTTATATTAACAATTTTTACAAAATCAACAAAAAATATAAAAACTTATTCTTAAAAATAGTTCCCGGTACAAATTATTTCTTAACCGATTGGAGCTAATGTTACAAAAAGCTATGACTATTTTATTGAGTCTTAATTGTCTACTTAATAAGAATCAATAATGAGCTCAATTATTAGGCAAAACCTTATTAGGATTTAGGATATTTTTGGGATCAAATAGTTTTTTAATCTCTTTCATAAGTACAATAGCTTCCTGTGGTTTGGAAAACTTAAGGTAAGAGTTCTTCATAAGTCCCAACCCGTGTTCCGCGGATATACTCCCCTTATGTTTGCTAATGTATTCGTAGAGGAAGGGCTCAATTGATGTCTTTATTTGTTTATCAAACACTTTGGACGTGATATTCAAATGAAGGTTTGCTTCAAAACAAAAGGCAAATGAATACGGAATTAAAACCAATTCAATGGTTACTCACAATCGCCGATATGTCCGTAACCACAGACCCGCAAACAGTTTGTACTCTTCAGTCGTTCTCTCATCACTTCAACGATTTCATAGAAGACACTCAAAGGCAAAGAGATGTCATATTTATAAGTATAGCCATCCCTTAACAGGCCTTCGGCTATACGTTCCCTATAGGACTTGAGTTTGAGAAACCGGTGGTGATTGTCATCACTGGCATACGTGCCGTCACTAATCAACTCCTCTTTCATTAACTCTTCGATCACTTGAGATAAACGGCTTTCCATATGTTCGGAATCATTGGCCGACAACTCAAACAATACATAGAAATCACTTCGACTGCTGAGGGGATGGCTTTGTTCCAGATTAGTGACCACAGCATCCATGGACAGGTCGTCCATCATCTCAAAACACGTCAAATACTCAGACAATTGACTCCGAACTTTGTGATAGATTTTCAACAAATGGTCATAACTTCGAAGTGCGAGAAGGGCTACGGTTTGGTGTCTGAGCTTAAGAGGACATAAAATGGACACTTTGGTGATCACACCTAACGTTCCCTCAGAGCCTAAACCACATAACATGAGAACCAGTTCTACAAGAATTCAAATCAGAAACAAACCAATGAATAGTTGCTTCAAATCATATCCAGTGTTGTCTTTCCTCATCGAACTCATGAGGTCTAAGACCTGACCGTTAGGTAAGACCACTTCAACGCCCAAAACGCTTCCGTGTAAAGAGCCGTATCGTATGAACCGAAGACCTCCCGCATTGGTCGCCAGATTACCCCCAATAAGACACGAGCCCTTCGCCCCCAAGTCGTACGGCATTATAAAGCCCTTCTCATTGACATATTCCTCCAGTGTCTGCAATACACACCCGCTTTCTGTCACAAGGATTCCCGAAGTCGTGTCCAACGACTCGATTGCATTCATTTTAGTCATTGAAAGAACCACTTCTTTGTCGATCGGAACAGATCCAGCCACTAGTGATGTGTTTCCCGATTGGATCACACATTTCAGTGACCTTTCATTCAAGTAAGACATTAGAGACGACACCTCTTGAGTGCTCTTCGGCGTCAACACTACCTCTGAGTGTCCTTTTGGTGGACCAATGGATACAGTGAATGGCAGGGATGGCAAGTGATGGGAAGGGATGCAAACCTGTGTGAGTGTGCAGCCAATCCGTGTTATACGAGTCCAGGTCTTCCGTCTTGACGCCAGTGTTGCCCACAATCCCGCGAAACACATCCAAGTCTTTGGCCGTCACTGAACTCAAGCATCGCCTCAATGTATGCACACATTGTGTCCGTCCATACAATCGGTGCAATACTCCCCACATTTGTGTCCAAACTTTCAGAAAACTTATTTTAAACGCAATCAGAGTTTCACATTAAAAGTGCAGTCAATAGACAGCGTATTGTTTACAATAGGGATGGCAGTGATGGGCACCGGTATGCGAGCACAGGTGTCGCTCATCGCTTCATAACATTGTGTTCAGCGATTAAAATAATTTAAAAATCACTTTAGACTTAAACTAATTGTACGGTAATAATATTTATAACAAACTTTATTTGTAGTGCTAATAATTGTCATTATAAATATGTATTTATTAATCTGATTACAGAATTAATTGATTTGACATCAAATGAATGAAATCTTAAATTATTTGAGACACAAAGTTCATTACCGTATAAATTATATGCAAAAAGAGTGCAATTATTGTAAAAATTTAAGACTTTGTTAAATATATTTTCAAATCAAAAGTGTTATGATTGGAGTCGTCGGTCATATGCGCGGACCCGGCGTTCACTGAAACATCTGTTGTCTCCTCTGAATCTGATGTCCGATTTGGTTGTAACTCCTCTGCGAGATCTGTAGGCGCTGTGCGATCGGCGGTATTCGCTGCACAGTCTGTGGAATACGTCCGCAATCGCTCTTCATGTCAGTCATGAGCTCTTCGTAATGATTGACACATCGATGAAGCGTTGCGTTCAACGGCTTGTTCTCGTCGTTCGTCTCCTTCTCTTCGGTCGACTTCTTCGAGTCCTGACTCTCTTCGTCGTCGAGCTCTTCCTTCTCGTCTTTATCTGCAATTCGAGTCAAATGTGCGGTTCGTCTGAACTGTTCCTCGAAGACGAGCGCCTGTTCCAGGAGTCGGAGCCGTCTCTCCATAAACTTGTTCTTAATGTTCAGCGTATTCTTGAAGGGTTCGCTCAAAATACTGAAGTCCTCGTCGTTGTCGATGTCTTTCCAGCGCTCGTATCCGTGTTTGACGAGTGCCGCCAACAACCAGTAGTCGTGCCTTTTGTTCCAAATGGACGGCTCTTTTCCCGGCTTCAGCTCCTGTTCCTCGAAATACCACAGAGTTTGCAGTTCAGTGAGTCCGCCATCTCTTATATTGAACTCAAACAGTTCCACTTTTGTAGGGATAACCTCCTCTTCCGGTTCACTGACCACAGACTTCTTATCACTTTTATCGACCAATTCCTCGGAAACCTCTGTTTCTTTAACAGCGTTTTCGTCATCTTTTTTATCCTCTTTCTCAGTGTTTTCACTCTTTTCTTCACTCTTTTCTACACTTTCGTCCGCATCTTTCATCTCCACATCTTTCACTTCTTCTCCGTTTATCTTATTTTTATCGCTTTCTTGAGATTCCGTTTCATTTGCTTCGGCCTTCTCTTCAACTACTTCTTCGGCTTTTTTCTCGTTTGTTTCATCAGAAGTGCTTTCAGTGGTGTTCTGTTCATCCATTTTCTCTTCAGACTTATTCTCCTCTGAAACCTCTTCTTTCTTGTCATCACTCTTCGCCTCATTTTCAGGCTTTTGTTCCGCACTTTGGCTCTCATTGTCGGCCTTCTCAGTGACGCCATTCTGACTGTTGTCCTCAAACTCAGCGAAGTCTTTGGAGGTCTCGTTGATGGTGACAACGGGTGTCTTCTTTTTCTCTTTCTTAATGCTCTCCAATCCGTGTTTACCCTCGTATTCGTGCACTTTCTTGCGAATCAGCGAAACCATTCCGATTCGGGCCAACACTTGGCTTATGTTAATACCCTCTTTGGGAACTCCGTCCTCGAAAGTCTTCGACTGCGGGTCTCCGGCGTCGCACAAGTGTTGCACGAATATAGAGGTGTAGGCGCGCAGATGCTTCTCGCTCTTGCCCTTCAAATCCCTGATATACCACTGCGACTCAGTTATGTTCTGGTCCTGATTTGGCAGACCGAACCGCATCACTACATCCAAAAAGGCTTTCCTATGTTTGGCTGTGAATCCCAAAACCTAGTGAACGAATCCAATAAATTGTGAATATTGTAAACATTTGAGTTATAGATAAGCGATAAACACATACCTCAGTGTTACCACCGATGAGAGCCACAAGTGGTGGCATTTTCTCCCTGCTGTGTTTGTGTCTAAGCTTAACCCCACGCGCGCCTTCCTCTGCCTTCACGTCAAAGTCTTCGTCATTTGAACTCAAGTCTAAAATTATAGATAAATATTATATTTATTGAACCAAAAGGATAGTCAAGAAGACATACCGGAAGGCATAGAATAGTCAGAACTGGATTCCGAGCCCTCATTGTTGGCGTATTCGGTTTGTTCGGCGCCTATACTATAGTTCACTTGTTTGCGAACTCGTTTGCCTTTTCCGAGAGTCCTCTGAATGTTCTCCTGGTGTTGGATGTAGTGGTGACCCAAGAGTTTCTCCCAGTATTGGGGGTCGGGCTCATCGTGAGGTTTGGGTTCCTCTTCGACCTCCTCGGCCTCTTTGGTGACATAAGAGGCCACTTTGAATGACCCCAAGTACTCGTTGGCCCACATCTCCTTCTGTTCGATGCCCTCCTGAGTCCTGTCGAGCAGACCATCGATGGCTTTGTCGTCGTAATGAATGGCTGTGTCTTCTTTGCCCTCTTCCTCTTTGAAGAGCTCTTCGGTGCCAAACTTGAGGATGTCGTCCAACTCCTGCTTAGACATCGCCGCCTGGTTCTTGTTCTGACCCATGCCTGGCCTCACCACCAGATGGGTTAACATCATCTTCTTCTTCGCCACGTGTGTTATCCTCTCCTCAACCGAACCCCGAGTGACGAACCGATAGATCATCACTTTGTTCGCCTGTCCTATACGATGGGCTCTACTCAGCGCCTGTATGTCATTGTGTGGATTCCAATCCGAGTCATAGATGATGACAGTGTCAGCGGTGGCCAAATTGATGCCCAAACCGCCGGCTCGAGTGGACAACAGGAATACAAATTGTTGAGCGCCGGGAGCGTTGAAGCGATCGATGGCGTCCTGACGGATGGAACCGGTAATCGAGCCGTCGATTCGCTCGTATTTGTATCCCTCGTATTCGCAGAAGTCTTCCAACAAATCCAACATAAGTGTCATCTGCGAGAAGATGAGCACTCGATGGCCTTCGTTCTTCAGTTTGCGCAACATTTTCGACAGCAGCACGAGTTTGCCACAGGACTTCACCAGAGCACTGCCCTCGTAATAGCCGTACTTCGTTTTGGGCGCTTCCTATCAGTACATACATCATAACAATTGGCATTAATTTGGTTATCATTACGGAAATGGTTTTCTTTTCATGGCATACCGTTTGGGCGGTTGGGAACAGATAGGGATGATTACAACACTTCTTTAAGTCCATCACAATATTCAAGAGGGAGACCTGTTTTCCGCCGCCCTTTATGTTCAGAGCCTCGAAATTTCGGGTTAATATGAATTTATAGTATTTTCTGTTCGAAGCAAACAATCAATTAATAAAAACAAACAAATATTGACAGAAAGGATGTCATACTTCTGAAGCGGTGCCAAATCGACGCGAACCAAGAACTCACTCTTCGACGGCATGTTCTTCAGTACATCGGCTTTAAGGCGACGCAACAGATGCGGGCCTAACATGTCGTGCAGTTTCTTCACCTGTTCCTCTTTGGCGATGTCAGCGAATTCATTGAGAAAGCCTTCCATATCGCTATGGGAGGGACAGACAGGTTATACACTATTGCATAGAGTAAATGGTGTCAAAACTCACTCAAATCTTGAAGGACTTAAAAAGTTCAACAAATTGAAGAGTTCTTCCAAATTGTTCTGAAGTGGAGTTCCGGTGAGAAGCAGTTTGTGGTCGACGTGATAGGAGTTGAGAGTGCGGAAGAATAGCGACTGATTGCTAATATTCAAGAGGGAGACCTGTTTTCCGCCGCCCTTTATGTTCAGAGCCTCGAAATTTCGGGTTAATATGAATTTATAGTATTTTCTGTTCGAAGCAAACAATCAATTAATAAAAACAAACAAATATAGACTGAAAGGATGTCATACTTCTGAAGCGGTGCCAAATCGACGCGAACCAAGAACTCACTCTTCGACGGCATGTTCTTCAGTACATCGGCTTTAAGGCGACGCAACAGATGCGGGCCTAACATGTCATGCAGTTTCTTCACCTGTTCCTCTTTGGCGATGTCAGCGAATTCATTGAGAAAGCCTTCCATATCGCTATGGGAGGGACAGACAGGTTATACATTATTGCATAGAGTAAATGGTGTCAAAACTCACTCAAATCTCGAAGGACTTAAAAAGTTCAACAAATTGAAGAGTTCTTCCAAATTGTTCTGAAGTGGAGTTCCGGTGAGAAGCAGTTTGTGGTCGACGTGATAGGAGTTGAGAGTGCGGAAGAATAGCGACTGATTGCTGAAGGACTTAAAAAGTTCAACAAATTGAAGAGTTCTTCCAAATTGTTCTGAAGTGGAGTTCCGGTGAGAAGCAGTTTGTGGTCGACGTGATAGGAGTTGAGAGTGCGGAAGAATAGCGACTGATTGCTCTTCAGTCGGTGGGCCTCGTCGACGACCAGTACTTTCCAGTCGATGGACCCCAAGAGGGCTGAGTCGACGTTAATGAGCTCATAAGAGGTGAGCAAGACGTGGAACTTGACGTTCACGTGTTTGCGGAGTTTACTCGCTTTGGCGGCACTCCTGATGGCGTCCGAATCGAAGCTCAACTCATGCTCTCTGATGACCACTCGGCTGTCTTTATTGCCGGTATAGTTCACGACATAGAAGTCGGGCGCCCAGTCCTCGAGCTCTCGCTCCCAATTNCGCTTTGGCGGCACTCCTGATGGCGTCCGAATCGAAGCTCAACTCATGCTCTCTGATGACCACTCGGCTGTCTTTATTGCCGGTATAGTTCACGACATAGAAGTCGGGCGCCCAGTCCTCGAGCTCTCGCTCCCAATTGATGATTGTCGAGAGCGGCGCCGTTATGAGGAATGGACCCCTCACGTGACCCTCTTTGTACAGCGAATACAAGAATACGATCGTCTGAATGGTCTTCCCTAAGCCCATCTCATCGGCCAGAATAGTCTCCGTGCCGTTGGACCACGAGTAGCGCAACCAATTGACGCCTTCCAACTGATACGGGTGCAGCTCTAACGGCTCCGGTATGTAATCGGGCTGTTTCTCCCACTTCTTCTTGGGGTCCACCTTCTTATTGCCCTTTTTCTTCGAGTCCTTGTCTTTCGACTTTCGCTTATCTTCTTTCTCTTTGCTCTTCTTCTCGGCCTTCGCCTCTTCCTCCACGAGTTCCCGAAGATTCCAATAGTCCTCCACTTTCTTGCGATAGTCGGGTAAATCGAAGGGGCAGTGGTCGGGCTCCCACTCCACCGTCACCTCTTCGTACGACAATTCGCGCCATTTTATCGTGTAATGGATTTTTCCCCTCTGTTTCCGGTGATTGAGTATGCGATGGATTTGCAGCCAATCCGGTCTAATCCCGTACCGCAAGTACTTCTCCACGAGATTCGCGTCGTTATTGGAGTACCGGTTGCGACGCCTTCGCATCCCTGTGGCCGCAGTCGGCTCTCCATTCTCGGCCTCGTCTTCGCCCTCTTTGGGAGCCGTCTGCACGTCTTGATAGCCCTCTTCGAACGGCGGCGGAGTATTCATGTCTGTCCTCAGAGAGTACGTCCGGTGCATGAAGTTGTGGAACACTTGGATCTGGAGCTCCGACACCCACGAGCAGTGCCAATA